GAGAGAGAGAGAGATGTTGGTCAACAAAGAATAGTGAAGGGTTGTTAATAGGGCAAAGGATGTTGGAGAGTTGCTTTTCGAGAATCTCACAGGAAGATAACATAAGAGAGGGACTGTTGAGGACCGGGATGAAATGTTCAACTGAGAAATTTCTAATAGATACTTTTCTATGATTAGGTAATTAGTCCAGTGCTTCTCAGCCTCTGTTTTCTTTTCTTTGTTTGATTCCTCTTTCCTCTCTTCTGTCTCTGTCTCCAACATGAATTCTGATTCTAATTCAAAACCTAACCTGATTTTGAAGGTGGATCAAGGTATATTTAATTAATTCAAGGCCTACTTGAACTAAGAATTATAAGAGATACAAAGCAATGTCATGTGGAAGGTTAATAAACTCATGAATCATGTCATCATCAAATCACCCTAATGGACAGGATATGAACAATCTTCCCTAAGCTTGTGGATCATTTTGTGTCAGTTTCTTATCTGATTTGAGATTTAGAGGAGGATCACATTGAGCTCATTAATGTTGGAGAAGAAGGGATACCATATTTTATATTACTTTTAACTCTGAAAGATTACTAAAGAATAATCTCATCATGACTCAAAAATCACTCAAGTCATTACAAAAAATTAGAACATGAAACTTGTTCTGATGAGCATAATTAATTTATGCATCCATTCTATCAAACATTCTGTCCATCCAATTCAATTGGTTAAGCATTCATTTAATCAACTCTTTTTACTCACCAGATAATAGGAAAAATAATATTATTATACAAGCTGATTCTTTATCAGACTGAATGTTCAATAAAATAAGTGTAAAGAGCATTGCTTCAATAAATAAAGGTGTTGCCATCAAATTGGCATCACTATTTAATACATTGTTTTCCCAGACCAGATTTCATGCAGAAGAGCCCACAGTTCCACCTTGTGATTTGACTCAATTTTAGTGTCATCCCCTCAAACAAGCATACTATAAAAAGCTTTGCTTTGCTTTGCTCATTTACCATGAGAGCATAAGAAACACTTCGGTTGAGTTTGACACAAGCTTGTTGATGTAAACCTCCTACTTGTCTTACATAGCAGACAGCTCCTGTGGAGGACCCAAATACTAATTTTGTCACAAGAACATACATTGTTCAGAGAAACAAACAAAACTTTTCAGCACCAGCAGTGGACTAAGATATACTCACAAAATATATAATGTATCTTGCAGTTTGCATTTCTTGAACTCCTTGCCTTGTGGTTGATGATTCTTGATACAGTCTTTGCAACTATTAACCCAATTCACTGCATATGTTTGGTAGAAGAATGAAAGAAATCTCATAAGAAAACCAGGCAAGCATTAGTCACAGTGTTGGACTCTGTTTTGCAGCAAGGAGTAAGGGATAGTGGTGTAGTCCCTCTTGTATTAGGAACTGCCTAAAATTGTGCTAAATTTATTTTTTGCTCAACTGTAAAACCTGCAAAGATGCTGTAAAAGAATTATTAGTTCATCATACCACACTAATTCTAGAATTTCATGTCTTCTGGGTGTATCTTCTTCCTGTTGAAGAGTGAAATCAATTGAGAAACTTCTTACCACCACTCTATTGTGGCTTCAAGAATAGCTCAGCAAATAGGAAGCATATATCAAGAATATCAATTGAAGAACAGCTTATGCTGAGAAGAAGCTCTGGAAAACGTCTACCATGGAGCTTCTCAAGAAGGATCAGGTTGAAAGCAAAAAATTAGAAGCTCATAGAGAAGGCACTGATTCGTTCACAGCAAGAACAAGGCACTGAGTCATGAATGAGAAAGAAATCAACTAGACAAAATATTTCTGGATTTACCATCACATTAACCATCACCTGTAGGATCTGCTTTCCTGGCTAAGTGGAGAGAGAGAGAGAGAGAGAGAGAGAGAGAGAGAGAGAGAGAGAGAGAGAGAAATATATAGCAACAGATGGAAAATTCCAAAGGAATCGCATGATCACTCGAGACTATAGATATATAAAGAGATCAATGCGATCCCTTTGGAATTCTCCTTCAGCTGCCCGCACCGATCGATTCCAAGAACATTCTGAGCTTTCTTCATTGTGGACAGTTCTTCTCTTCAACTCTCCAGCTCTTACAACACTGAGTAGGGGTTGCAGTGGAAGAAAAAGGTGTGGAAGATTTGATTGAAATGTAAAGGAGGTCGGAACTGAGTGCTATAATCTCATGGAGACTGTATGTCGATGTTGTTGTCGTTGCTGCTCTGCTTCACACTTGAGACGTGAGGCTATTGACACAAGGAGATGCTGCTCCCTCCAAAATGACTCCAATATCCTTACAGCAATTTCTGAAACTGTGGCTGTTTTCTCCTTCACTAAATTATTTCTGCAACACAAACACTATTAGACTGGTCAAACCATGGATAAATCAACAAGAAGGAACTTAGCAGATTCACATGTAATTCAACTATGGTTTTGTTTTCCTTTGAGCAAGCTGCAGAAGCTTAATATGATTGATGTTCCCGAGGAGAATTTGACCAAAGTTAATTGAGGATGTCACATTCTTCCAGATGGATGCCTGCCAGTTGCACTGCCTTGGAAGATATGAACTCCTAAAAGCATAGCTTGATTTTGATGCCAGAGCATCAAGGTGATGGCGCCCATTATGGTTCTAAGAGACTGTTAATAGTTCCTTTGGAAGTATCTTCGCTTCTTAATTCTTCAACATAGGGGTGAGTGAGTCTGAGCTGCAATTGTCAAACTTTGAGTGGTAGCTTAGACAACTTGAACAGAGCTGAGATGGAAAGGAAAGCATGTTTGGCACAATCGATTGCATCAACAGCAGAGATGAAAAGGACTCAGGTGAGGAAGAAGAAACAGGTGGGGCATAGTGGTGAGATAATTGCTAGGTAAAAGAGACAGTTACAAGTCTGACACCACTGTGGGCAGGCAGCAGCTGCAATCAGCAAGCAAGTTTGATAGGAAGAATGAGAGCATTTCATCCATCAAAGAAAATGATAGCCCACTTGAGGTTTTATTATTATTATTATTATCATCATTTGTGGGACCAAAAATGTTAATTATTGATGCTAGTTTTAAGAAAAAAGACAAGTAGAGAATATAGAGGGATGGGTTAGGCACTATAAAACAAGGTTCACAAGGAAGCTTACCAGATCCCCTATCTATAATAAGATATGGCTACCAACAATGTCAGAGTCAGACATCCTTCTCATTGGAGCTGTAAAACTTGGGAAGAAAACAAATTGAATGACCTAAACCTTTTCTGAAAGAGAAGTGAATGGCTGAACTGAGTTCTCAAGTATATAATGGCATTGTGATGTTTGCTTTCTTTTCTGTCATAAAATGCAATCCAATAAAATTACTGACACCTTTGGATTTCTTTGCTTTCTTTTCTGTCCATGCAAAACTCAAATCTGCCATAAGAAAAAATGATGCTTAGGCTCAAAGGCCTGTAAAGTATTTTCTGCAACTAAAAGCTTTCACTTCCATCAACACACCAAATGTGTCGGCTTTACATAACACAAATATAATAGGCCTCAGAGTGGTGTGGGGAGACACAGCTATGTACTGCAAGTAAAGCTTGAAAAGGTCCATCGGGTGACCAAATAATGCAGGAAATGGAAGCCAGTGGGTTGCAGTGTTGCACTGCTTCTTCCATTACAAGGAAACATCTCACAGCAGCAGGTACAAGATATTGCGTGTACTTGGAGCTCACCTTCCTCCCTGAGACCCTCAAGACATAGCCATGTGAACTGCTTGGAGCAGAGGGCACAAACCAAAGCCGGATCTGGGGCAGTGACTCCCCACCCATCTACCAATCCATTGTTCCAAGGTGGTTTAGATCATCTTTGATTTCACCTTTTCACTTGGTATTATAATAAGCTGGTAATCCAATCTTTTGGAGAATACTTCCATTGGCCACAAAAACTGTGCTACAAATATTCCAATATGTCAGTCACTAAGAGAAGATGATTTCTCAAAGGAAAAGGAGTGAAAGATGAAGAGAATTATGATTGAAGAGGACATTGAAAGGGCCATCAACCCACATCACTTTCCTACAAGCATAGATTAGGCAGTACCTCTGGAATGTCCCTCCATGCCAATTTATCCCAGCTAGAAGATGATCCATGCAACTGCACAAACAGACACACAGTGGTGAAGGCTATAGAGAGGCAAAGCAGTGCAGGGAGATGGTGTTCCTGGTGGACCATCAGTGTTCTCCAATTCTATCTCTATCTTACAAGAGTGCAGGTGCAAATCCTAGCTGCTGAAAGAAAGGTAAAACAAGGAGAACAATGAGTGCACAATCACATCCAAAGCCCCACTCTAAGTCTATAACAAATACCAGCAATGATAGAAAGAAGCATGATAATGACTAATTTTATCTAAATTTAAACCCCAACTGACTTACAAGTTTTCTCCTTGATGAGCAAAATGATTCACAATTTGATTACAAGTAGTCATGATAGTTTAGGTT